TTTTCTTTTTCTTTTTCTTTTTCTTTTTCTTTTTCTTTTTCCTTTTCTTTTTCTTTTTCTTTTTCTTTTTTTTCAGTTTTGTGCCACAGTTTTCTAGAGCATAATTTCTGGCATCTTTTCTTACTTCTTGACTGGTGACTGCCTGCCATGGAAAATAAAATCATGGCTCAATTTTTACAGTGCTTCAATTTTGTAGTTTTCAATTCCAAACCACCTCAAATTTACCAATGTTGATGTGTCCCAAGTGGCCTCCTGTGACCACATATCTCTCATTCTGAAACCTTTCCTTCCTACTCCTTTGACCTTCCCTGTAAGGTCATTAATAGAAGTTTTTGGGATTTCCCCAAGGAAAATGATGTTTTTTGATGGACTGAAGAAGAGAAATCAGAGATACTGAGGGCAATGTGTTGAAAAATCGCTTCTACCTAGGCCACCATTTCTGGTAGCATAGAAACACATGTACAGGTGACTGATAAACATTGTAGAGCTGTGATATATCTTTTCCTTGCCTCACTGATTCTAGCATCACAGAATAAAATTTATGTAAGGATTTGAACATCTTTTTTCTCCTGGGATCTGATTCCAGACTTAAATCTAAGTTAGAATGGACAGTTCATTTTACAAGGTTCTTAGCATTGTATGAAAATGCTGGCCAATGGTTTTGATATGAGCAGAGCTGTTAGAATAACATCTCTGACAGAGCATGAAGCACTTTCACTTGCCTGTGTCAAGAGTTCAGCTTGCTCCTGTTATGCCATTTCCAATTTAGCCTTAAAACTTTACTGAAATGCCCTGAAAATGACAGCAGTCAAATGACTGCTTCACAGAGTTGTTATTTTTTCTGCTAACTGTTGCCATAATTTTAGAGGTCAGAGCTCCTAGGATTTTCAAGGATTTTTGGAGTCTGTGTGTTTTTCAATGCTGTATTAAGACTCAACAATATTATGCATTTACCCATGCACATTTATGCTTTGAATTAAAAAAAAAAAAAAGAGAGAGAAAGAAAAAGAGAGAGAAAAATCCCAATCTTGTGCAGATCATGGCCAATTTTACACTTGAAGGTCAATGGTAGCTTTAGCCATAGCTGTCACAGACAGGTAAGCATAGCTGGAGACCTGGACCAGGGTTTTGATTTATTTGAAACTCTGCCATAGTTCTTCTAGCAGCTTTGGACAACCAATTTCCTAGCTTCCTAATTTTCCATCATGGATACATAACTACCCTTTTTTTTTTTTTTTAAAGGAAAGTGTGTCTCGCACAACAGGGCTCCGATCTTGGCTGTGTTCCACTGACACTGCTTCAGACCACAATTCCTTTACAAGCTTCCTCTAAGAAATGCCCATTTCAGGCTCAGCCGGTTGAGGGAACGCCATTGTTTTGTGGTGCAAAGTTGTGGTGGCTTAGGGCTGTCTGTTCTTCTTGCCAGCTGAGAGGTGAACAGCTGGAGCAGCTCCTCAGTACTGTCCTGTGCACTTGTACGTGTGCATACACAGCGCTATAATAAGTTGGTAAAAAGTCCTGGAAACCCCAAGTACGCTTCTGCTTTCTTCCAAAACCAGATGGGTTTAATTTTGTGTCTTACAGCTTTTGTCTTGCTCTGCCCTCTGCCTGTGGTTGGTTCCAGGTGCCTGTGTGATGCTGTTTAGTTGCATATAGCAGTAAGCAGGGTAGGTGTGCCTCCTTGCATACGGCAGTGCTGTTGGTTAAGGTCTCTTTTGCTACCAGTTTGACTTTGAGGTACTTCCAATGAGATTATAATGTATTCCTCTCCAGATTTCAAGCCCTGATGAAGGCTATGAAAATAAATCTCTTTATGAGAGTTGGCTTGAGAAAGACCCTGCACCTGAAAATAACAGTTATCCCAGGTAAGTAATTTGTCTGTTTTCACTTTCCCAATGTTTTCATTGTATCACAGCACGGCTCTTCTCTGGAATTCTTCAGGATGTGCTGTTGTTGACAGTGCTGCAAAAATCTTTTAGTACTTGAAGTCTCTAACAATATCTAAAATGAAATAAAATGTCATGACCTTTTTTTGAATGATTGTGACATCTATGTCCACTACAAGAACAAAATCTCACACTCTTTGAAAGTCTGTTTTGAACAGAAAAACATTTTGGAAAACAAACACTGAAGTGCAGGGTGGGGAAAAAATCAAAGTATAGTTTAGTTACTCTTCTAAATAATATCAAGACTGTTATGCTAAGCAAGTACTTTGTTGAAAGAAACTGCCTCAGGCAGTAGTTAAAAGCTCTCATGATACTTATTCTTTGTTTGTACAATGGATGTAGATGTTATACGTTAAAAATCTGTATCTGAAGATATTAAAACCTCAGCACGTTGTTTAAGCCCATGACTGGTAAGGCTAAATCTTACATTCTCATAAGGCAAATAGAACTGCTCCCTGTATCATTTGACCCAAATATTCTGCATGGATGACCCTATCAACTTTTAAGCCTTGGTAACATGTTCTTCTAGACACATCAAACTCACTTAAGATTTCTTCCTTTTGAAAAACCTACTAGATCTAATCCGTCTTAGCTGATATTTTGCTTTTCCTTTGTCTTGCAACGCCTATCCAGCAGATGGCAATATTTACTTGTAAGAGACAAATGTTAATGTTTTCTGCTGTGGAAATTGTTTGCCAGGCTTTGTACTGTGGAGTACTCTAAGTATGTAAGCACATCTGTTTTTACATATATTGCCTCCCAATTCCTTTTAATTTGGGAATAAGTATTTAATATTTTAAGATTGCAGAGGCTTATCTGATGCAAATCACTTCTCGTGCACACCACATTCATTTTTTTCCTAATGTGGTCACAATCAGGGATGCTACCATTAAAAGATCCTTGTAGTAATACTGGATACTGGATGGAATAAAGTTAGGGTAATTAAGCTTGCTGCTCATCTACTCTCTAATCTGACTGGCGTCCCTGGTGTGCCCTTCAGAAGCCTTGACCTCCATTTCTGTGAAAATCTGCATTTTGCATACATTACCACCATTTTATAAAATGAGTACTGCCTCTCTGATGTGTTCTGTTTCCTACATGCAGAATAAACAAACTGGGATCAGGCAGTGATTTTGAAGCTTACTTCCAGCGACTGGGAATTGCATCTGGCAGAGTGCGCTACACCAAGAACAGGGTGAGCCAACAGATTGCTCTGAGGGGTTCAGTGGTGCTGAACATTCATCTTTTAAAAGCATTTATTCATAGTTAATAAAAAAAAGCTTCAGTGAATTTTTGGCTCGTTTTTGACTCATCAGTACCATTTTAGAATTTAACAAGAAACCTAATGGCGTGGAGAATAAAAACGTTACTGTAATGTGTACATTTTATGGGCTATCAAGTTCTCAGGAGTATATTTATAGTATCTGATCGGGAGGGTGGATTTCATTCCACTGTGCTATTAGCAGTCCCCTTAATATATACATCCCCCTGGAGTTTGTTCAGGAAACTGTGCATTATTCAGAGGGGCCACGGCTGAGGATTTCTGTGATCCCAAACTTCGGATTGATTTCCAAATCAGTGAAGGCCATGTCTGTACAAGGGAACTGAAGTCAGGTCTGCGTAGGTGGGAAGAAGGAAACCTGCTCCCTTATTCTTGTGTGACAGCCTGTGGATTTGGGTTGCTTTATTTTCTGAAGATGAACACACAAAAAGAAGGGAAGGAGAGCAAATTGTGTTTTCTAAGAAGTAGCTTTTTTCATTTGGAAGCTGTGCAGAACATCATGGCAGCAATACAACCTTCACTGTAGTCACTGACAAATTTACCTGCTCTTTTTTTTTCAGAAAACGGACAAATTCAGCAATTACCCTGTTTATCACACTGTGTACGAGACCTTTGAGTTAGTGGAAAAATTTTATGATCCCACCTTCACGAAACAGCTAGCAATTGCCAAGCTGCGAGGCAAACTGGTTTATGAACTTGCAGATTCCCAGGTCATTCCATTCGACTGTAGAGACTATGGAGAGGCCTTAAAAGGGTACAGCGACAGAATTTATGAATTGGCTAAGAAACATGAAAAACAGTTGGAAACATACGGAGTATCATTTGGTGAGTAACAGCCAAAGCAGAATTTGTTGAGTGGGTCAATTGGATTTATGCAGTGACATGATGTATCTGTTCTCTCTCTGAAACTGAATTCCTTTTCTGTTTCCAACCTGCTATCATATTAAGATCCACTAAAAAAAAGATCTTTCTGAACCTAACTGGAATGAATACGTTATTGTTTAGAGATGACTGAGTTACAATAATGTTCATTCATATCATTAGGTGTGTTATCACAGTACTGGTGAGCAGCCACAAACCAGAATCGAAAGCAGAACAAAGAGATAGTATCAATCTGGTTCTCACCCGTGACCAGATTATTTTCTCTTCGTTAAAAAAGAAGACAAATCGCCCCCCACTGTAAGGGCAGAGCCAGTCTGAGACTGCCTCATGAGAGTGAATGTGTACAAGTCTATGAGGCCGGTTTTCTGTAGTTATATTAGCAACTTCATTTCCAATTCAGAGCTTACAGCAGACAAAGTGGACCACTTGATGGATAAGAAACTGGTTGAAAGGCCGCAGGTGGTCATCAATGGCTCTGTGTCCAGGTGGAGGCCGGTAATGAGCAGCATCCCCCAGGGGTCTGTCTTGGGACCAGTGCTCTTCAACATCTTTATCAGTGACATCGATGACAGAGTGCACCCTCAGCAAGTTTGCTGAGGGATCACAGGTTAGAAGACATGTTAGCTTTAATATAGTCCTCTTTTGAGATGTCTGAAATGTGAAGAAATTCAAATCAAATCCCCACTCGGGGGAAACCTAAAAAAGACATTTTAAACTTCCTATAATGGCCTAGGTAGAAAACTCTTGACCATTTTGTAGTGATGTTGTTTTTTGCCATCAGACCACAACGGAAGCCCTTTGTGATGTTGATGGGTTGCCCCGACTGAGAGTTTACCTAACAGAAAGACTTAATTCATTGAGAACTGCAGTATATCGTATGAGGAAATATCAAGACTGGACTTTCTTTTTCCACTATTGGAATATCTCCCAACATTTCTATTAAATCTTTTATTTCCGTTGTTCGTATTTCTTTCCCATTTCACATTAGAACTTGACCAAATTAATTTCTAAATGATGCATACATATACTATACTGACATATACTATGTCAGGTAGGCTCTACAAGCAATTTTTGAGGCTTTTTTTCCCCATCACTGAAGTCCTTAAGAACTTCACAGGTGGGGCACTTTGACAAGGCACATTTTTTTAACCTTTTCGTTATTTTTCATTATTTTCATGTCTCTCCTCTGATGCCTGATCCGTTTTAAAACATTTCTCAGATAAAACTATGATTCTCATTTTATGTTTATTCAGTGGCACCAGAGTGCATTGCAATAACGATGTAGTTTTTTACATTACTGTGAAAATCGAAATTCATTTCACCCAACATTTCTATGGAGCTGCTTATTGACATCCCTGAATGTCAGAAAGCTGTTAATTAAAGCTGAATAAATCACATAATTGTCCTTCAAAACAGTTGATGAAGTTTTTAATTTGCCTTTGTGCTACCATTTCAGCTGTTCCTCTGCAACAATGAATGCTGGAAGCCTTTTCTTCATTAAATATTTACTTGTAATAATGAGCTATTTGGAAATAAGGCCTGCGGGGGAAAAAGAAAAAAAACAAAAAAAAACCAAGAAGTGATAATATTTCTCAAACAAAATTGGCATCATGGAGTAGCATTGTCATGAGCACAAATTCTCTTATATATTTTCAGATGACCTTTCCTTTTTCTCTTAAATCCCCTCCTACTGCTTCTGAAATACAATCTGCTGCCTCAATGCAGCCATGATGTCAGCGGGACATCTGTCCTCTGGCAAGGTGATAACTACTGCCCCAGGGAAGTGCAGTCGTGGACAAGTGCAAATCCTCCCCAGCAAGATGACTCCACACCACAGTCCATAAACAGGTTGCAGGGGCAAAATCTGTGCTTCTACTTATGTAGATTCTATGATATTCTGGATTATCTAAAGATTTCTGAAACTTGTAGGCAAAATATGCAGGTTGTGAAACTTCCTTCTGGGCAGTGAGTTTTGGTGAGGCCATTTCTGCTCACAGCACCCGCCTTGTTCTACAGAAATCAGCTGCAGAAATGGCTTCTTTTCCCCAGGTCTGTATCAAACAGCCCCTTCCACGGGGAAACCATTGCTGCTGATATTGTCATTAGCAGGAGGTCTGCTGCTTCTGCGGCTCAGCTATGGCACAGGGTTGGATGGGCTGCCAGGGGCAGAGCTGGAGAAAGCAACCAAATGTGTGGTCAGGTGTAGCAGGCAGAGTCTGGGGTAGCAATGATGTGGATGACACACGGGGCTGTGGCTGAGGTCTTTCTTCCTGCTGGTAGTGCAGCTCTTCCAAGCCTGCACTGGGGAAAGTAATACATTCTGTGAGAGATGGGAAAACTACTGCAAGCAGTGCAGCCAAACACGTGTAGTTGTGTTCCCCCTGGTTAAATGGAAGGTGTACTGGGCTCTGCAGATCGTCTGAAGTTGTTTAAATCCTTCCCATTCCAGATCCTCTTTTTTCTGCCGTGGGGAACTTCTCAGAGGCTGCTGCTGAATTTCACAGGAGGCTCGAGCAAGTGGACAGGAAGGAGTAAGTCTGAAAACATAAGGACGTGTGCATCTCATTTTGGTAAAAGCTCATCTCTTGGTATTTCCCTTCTTTGTCCCAGGGTACTCCTGAAAACCTCCATCAGACTTTGGTTGGTTGGAAAAAGTTACAAATGCAGACCAGCTGAACTTTCAGTCAGTTCTGGATTTGCTCCTAGTGCAGCCTGCATTTCTTTCTCTCCGTGGGGTGATATTTATCTTGCTTAGTTTTCAGCCACCTTAAAGATATAATTACTTGTCTCGAGTCCCTTTATATTTAATGGAGCAAAATTAGTATTTTGAAGGGGCAGTTAATCACATCTTCTTTGGGTAGCGAGGACACTGACTGCACAGGGAGCCTGTCTGATTAGTATAGAGCAGAGCCCTTGAACTCTGAGACAGGCAATATCTGCCAGGATTAATTCTGCTTTCAGTGATGAATAGTATCAGCTGTAGAGCTTATAAATATCAGTTTGTCATTACAATTATTGTAATAAATGGAAAAGCAGATAGCAGTGGAAGTTAAAGTTGGACTGAGCTCTGTATTTAGACACCTATGCTTGAATGCTGTAGGTGTCACAAATATTTATACTTTTAGCACACCTAAAGGAGATAGAGTGATGCTTGAGAGTATATAAAACATTCATGTGCTTGAATACCTAGGGGGCAGCCCAATGGCCTTAAGTTGCACCAGAGGAGGTTCAGGTTGGAGGTTGGGAAACACTTCACAGAAAGAGTGTTGAGGCACTGGCACAGGCTGCCCATGGGGGTGGTGGAATCACCATCCCTGGAAGTGTTCAAGAACTGTGGAAATGTGGCATTGAGGGATGGTTAGGAGGCATAGGGGGTGGGTTGATGTTTGGGTGTGATCTTAGAGGTCTTTTCCAATCTTAATGATTCTGTGGGACTCACATGCCCTATGGGCGCAGTGGCTGGAGGCCACTATTTGCAAAGCTTCACCTTCTGTCCAAAGAAGAGAAGTATTTGAATGAAAAGGATCAGTCACGCTTCCTCACTATGTGAAATGCATCTTGTTTCCATTTTCTGCAGCCCAGTTGCAGTGCGAATCATCAATGATCAGCTGATGTTTATAGAAAGAGCTTTCATTGATCCTCTTGGCTTACCAGGAAGGAAGTTTTACAGGTGAGATTATAGCTTTCTTAACTTGTCCAAGTTCCTTAACTGTCTAAGTTAAGTCCTCTAGCTCTTAAATTTCTTAGCTGTCCAAGGTGATTTTGGAGATGAATTCCACTCAAACAAGTCAGCCAGTTTAACTCCTATGTAGGCTGTAGGTAGGCATCATAGCTCAATGGATACTGTTTTAGGTATTATTGAGCAAGTAGGAGACTTTGTTGATAACTTGCAATCTGCACCACCCTCATCGGTCTTCCCAGTTCCAGCAGTCTATTAGCCAGGACACTCTGAAGTTTTTATACAGCCCATGAGCTGTTCTGTGGAGTCCTGTCTATCCCACCTTTAGTTGCTTGCTGTTGTCTTTAATCCTTAACTGGCTGTTATTGAAATTTTCTCTGTACAAGCCTGTGGGTCTGGAGGAAGGCAGTGCTCGATTCACCACCCTCTGTAGAAGTCCAATGAGTTTCTTAGTTCCACTTGCCAGAAGCTAGCTTCCAATGTCAGGTGTGCAACTGCCTCACTTTGCTCACAATATCCCCCTTTTTCCAATGGCTGAATACATCTGATGGCTGGATGCACCTGATTCACTGGCTGATGGCACTTGCACCAAGCTAGAAGTCCCTCAGGCAGAGGGACTTCCATCCTCAGCGAATAAAGTGTTCACACTTGTGTAACAGTGAAATGGTTGTTTTCTGCAGTTCTTCTTGTGAACATTGATTTATTGTTTATTTCTAGTTGGGGGGCATCTTTCACATACTACAAATGCACTTTTTTACCTTTTATGAACAAAATAAATTTAAAAGTAGGACTGCAATTATCCATTATAAAAAAAAAAAAAAAAAAAGCTATGATTTTGTCCACTCCTGATCCCATATAATTACTGTTCCTCTAAAGAATCCGTGCCTTTCTTACCTATTCTCCCATAATTTTCCACATTCCTTTCCCAGATCTCACAGTTACCACTCATTTGCTGCATTATTTTTTGGGACTCATGTACTCTTCTCCTCTGTTGTACACCCATTTGCTATTTTATCCCATGTTCTGTACTGTCACATTAGTTCAATATATCTGTTGAGCTCTCATTTACAAAAGTTCCTAACGTGGTTTCATTCCTAATTAGAGAAATGCACTGTGTTTTCCCAAGGAGAAGGTTCTCTGTGCTAAACCTGATCCCTTCCCTGTAGAGTTGGTCCTATGGGCTGGTCTGTTCTGTCTTTCTAAAGACAGTTCCAGCTAGACTACCTTTATATTTAGTGAATTCTAGTCTTCTTGCAATTCTTTATTCGTTTTGTAGCACACATTTTTACAGTTTCCCCCAATGAATGCACATAATACTCATGATTTTTTTTACTTAGTATACTTACACTTTTTTTTTCCCCACAGACATGTCATCTTCGCTCCAAGCAGCCACAACAAATACACTGGAGAGTCCTTCCCAGGTATCTATGATGCCATGTTTGATATTGAAACCAAAACCAATCATCAAGGAGCCTGGGAAGAAGTTAAGAGGCAGATTTCCATTGCAGCCTTCACTGTGCAGGCAGCTGCAGAGACACTGAAAGAAGTAGCATAGGATGATGGCCTGGGAAAATGCGCAGTAGGCAGACTACTGCAGTGACCCAGCCTCAGCTAACTGCTGCTGTGCCTGAGCTCCCAACCTTCAAAAGCGTTTTCTTGGAGTTTTACACAAAGACTCACAACAGTGAGGTTCCACCACTCGGGCAGTTACTGTGTACTTCCATCCTGTAGTTGCTTTTTGGAAAACAGATTATGGGATAACTTTGCTCCTGTTGATGCTCTCGCCAATCCCAAACCAGTGGCAGCTTTTGCCTTTTTTTTTTTTTTTCTCTCCTGGAAGAGCTCTTTCACACAGTGATGTCCCTTCCAGATGAAGGGGGTGGATGACAGCATTGCCACTATTGCTGTAGGGCTGGATGCATGGAGTAATTCTGTCTTCTGATAAGAGAGAGTTTCCCCTCAGGAGCTGCATGTAGAATCGTAGAATCCTTAGAGTTGGAAGGGATCTTTAATGGTCATCTAGTCCAACTCCCCTGCAATAAACAGGGTAATCTACAGCTAGATCAGGTGCTCAGGGCCTAGTCCAGCCTCACCTTGCAAGTCTCCATGGACAGGGCATCCACCACAACTCCAAGCAACCTGTTCCAGTGCTTCACCACCCTCACTGCAAAACACTTTTTCCTTATGTCCCACATAAATCTACCCTCTTTAAGCTAGAAGCTATTTCTCCTTGTTCTATCACTACAGTCCGTGCTAGAGCGTCTGTGCCCCTCCTTCATGTAGATCCCCTTTAGATATTGAAAGTCTAAACTGTACAAAAGTGTTACAGTAGTTCAATCCCTTGGGTGCTGGTTGCAGGGGAATGTGCTACCAAGAACAGTGACTCGTCCATAACCACTCTGGTGACTGTTCCCTTTTCTTGGGTAGCTCTTCCTCCCTCATAGATTTATGTTATGTTATCAGCAAGTAATTTATGCATCAACTAGTAACTGAGACTTCCCCAGGGAGAGGTTCCAATGCTCGGATGGTGGAAGAAAAGCCACTGGTGCCTCTTCCTCATGAACAGCTGTTGGTGGTCACTGCCTGGGGTCTATCAGAGCATGTGACAGAGAAAAAAGAAATATATGGAGTAGCATGATTTCTTCATAATTGGCAGGTATCTTCATAATAAAATAAGCCACCTTTCATTTAAGTGAACGAATGCTCCACCAATACACATATACTTTCAATGCAAGTTTGTGAAGCTCTGTGCCATTACCTCACCACTGCAAAATAACCTGTCATCTCCTGTGGTTTCCATGCACTATTCGAAGCAGTACAAAGAGTGCCTAGCTAAAATCTATTGTTTCCTTCCCCTTCTCAACTTCACTGATAATTACGTATGAATGAATGAGTCATTATGACCTGCTACATCCTGAAAACTCTGTGGAGCTTAGATCTCCTTCCCTTCCTCTGCTATGTTATAAAGGGATGGTGATACCCAAACACTTATAGATGGCTTATGCTCACAGACTCACAGGAATTTAAAATTGGCATTAATTTAAAATAATCTCCAAAAACACCTTGCAGATCTTAAGCTTAATGAAAACAGAAGCTGATGTGGTACCTTTGCAGATGAAGCATTTGGGGGTAAGTGAGACCAGTGCTTCTCTGAACACTTGTAATGCTTCGGTTTAACAACCCTTCCCAACACAGTCATTCATCAAGAGACTGTTTTTGTGGAGCAGTGAAACTGAGGTTTCCCTGTCCCACTATCCTGACCACTGAAGTACACCATCGATTTGTAACTTCTGGTTTTGTAAGTCTTCTCAGTGACAGTGTTGTTCATCTGTTAGAAAAAGCAACTGGAGAGCTGCCCTGAGCAGGGAAGAACAGGGTGTACTCACCATGACCTGTTAGTTTCCTCTCACTCTAAATTCCTGTTTTCAGCCATGAGATTTTAATGCCATACAGTTAAGTGTGCCATTACCAGACCTAGATGAAGGTGAACATCATGGACTACACTGTAGCACTGAATGCAAAAGTGAAGTACAGAAACCTTGTGTCTGCTGTGCTGCTCTGACCCAAACCAAAGCAACGTGCTCCTTGCTGAGAAACACATCACCATGCAGCAACTATCCCTAGAGAAACTACTAGGAGCTGGATTTAGCTGCAACGAGACCAGAGCATTGCCATTACATGCCTGAGACCTAAAGTAACACCAATAAAGTACACATGGTTCCTGTTTAACCCTGTAACTCAGCTGTAAGTATACAGCGTGCTAGACTTGCGGTTCAAGAGAAGCGCAGCAGGGACATCAGTTTCTGGTGGAAATCATTGGGAGAAACACAGAAAGGCTTAGGACCTTGCAATGGATTGTTTCTATACTTGCTTGTGCCAGATCCATCAAGCCAAGGCAGCTCATATCAGTATCAACTGGTTTTCCTGACGGATCCAATCTGGGGAGCTTCCCAAGTGTAGGAGAATTGGGTTCAAGGAACCTCCTGCAGAAGAGGCTGGACCTGGTTCAAGTAAGAATGCATTACAGCCTTCCATAAGGGGAAAGAACGGGAGAGGCGATAACGAGAAAAGCATTTCACAGGAGGGCAGCAGATAAGAATAGACTTGCTGTGTTTACATGGCAGCTTCCCCAGATGTGCTCTGCTAGGCTGCTCACTGACAGAAAGCTGCTGACGCACTGCTTACTCTGCCATCCCCATTACCTCCAAACTTGGCTGTCTTTTTAGGAGACGAGCCCCGGTTGCTGGACACAGCGACTGTTGTGGCAACACATCCTTAGGTAATCCACAAGCAGCAGGACGTCAGCCTGGAGAAACATGGTCAGCTGCAAACAGAGCACAGAAAGCTTTCGCTCCTCTGAGATCACTTTTCCCTCCTGATATTCCTGAAACCAGCATCTCCCTGCTGAACAAAGCAGCTGAGCTTCAGTCCTCCGGCACCTCCTACATGCCCTGAAATACTGACTGCAGCCCACAGCTCAGAGCTTTGCCACCCACTGTCACAGCTGTGGGATAAAGCTGAAACATCCTCCCACTCTTGTTATGTGCAGAAAGAAGCACACTTCACAATTAAAGCCAAGCTTACTGTTAGTACCATAGAATCCTAGAATGGCCTGGGTTGAAAAGGCCCACAATGATCATCCAGTTCCAACCCCCTGCTATGTGCAGGGTCGCCAACCACCAGACCAGGCTGCCCAGAGCCACATCCAGCCTGGCCTTGAATGCCTGCAGGCATGAGGCATCCACAGCCTCCTTGGGCAACCTGTTCCAGTGTGTCAGCACCCTCTGGGTGAAAAACTTCTTCCGAATATGTAACCTAAACCTCCCCGTCTCAGTTTAAAACCATTCCTCTTGTAAACCATTCCCCCACAAGCTGCCTGACATGGCCCTGGGCACCCTGCTCTGGGTGTCCCTGCAGGAGCAGGGGTGGGCCAGGTGAACCCAGAGATCCCATCTCCTCTTAACCAGTCTGTAATTCTCTGTGTGATTCTTTTTCCATCAGCCAAACAAGCTAAAACAACCCACCAGAAAGGTGGGGAGCACTCAAACCAAGCAGACTCAGCAAGTCCCAAGAGACTGCAAGGCCAGAACGAAGCCTTGCTGCTAGCCATGGCAATGCTGTGTTCATGTAGCTGTTCGCGTAGATCTGCAGAGGGAGTACATGGGGAGAGCCTGAAAGTTTCATAAACCATAAACAGGGACAGCTGTCTATACACTATCTAAAGACATACCCAGTTTTGGTAAACCTGAGAAACAGATGAAATAGACAGCTTTTCTCCTTTCACATAATTCTGCCTGAACATGCTTTAATTTTAGAAACATCTATCATTTCTAGCCACCTGCAGTCTGATAAATGATTTTTTGTTGGAGGGCTGTATGTTTATATGGGATTCAGGGTGTAACTGCAGAATCGAGCACTTGCTTCTTGGTCAGTACTGCACTCAGCCTTGTACCAAAGAGCAATTATCAGATGATGTATCATAGCTAGTGCTCATTCTATACACAACCACATTCAAAATTTCTCAAATGGCTAGAACGTATGGAGGCAAAATCAGAATTGTTTGAGTTGGATGGGACTCCTAATGGTCATTTAGTCCAACTCCCCTGCAATCAACAGGGACACCAACAGGCAGATCAGGTTCAAAGCCCTGCTCAACTTGACCTTGGATACCACCAGGGAGAGAGCACCCACAGCTCTCTGTGCAATCTGTACCAGTGCCCCACCGCCCTTACTGAAAAAAACTCACTCCTTACATACAGTCTAAATCTCCTCTCATAAAAATGAGGGTGCACAACACTGCCACAATTCAAACATGCATTTTAGTTAATAAGACAACTGTGAAGTGGAAAAACTCATGCAAATGGCACATTTTAGGTTTAGAACTATATATTCAATGTCTTGGTACTGCCACTCAGCAAAGTGTACGCCAGCTTTCATTGAGCAAACCCCAACCACACCTCAGTTTTCAGGCAGTGGATCAACATAATGGTGCAATGATTTTAACAGGGTGATTTAAGGAAAAAAAGCACTAGAGAGGAATAGAAGTAAAACACGTTCCACTTACTTTTTCCACCTTTATCTTCTTTCAGTTGTTAAACCATGGCTCTTGGCAAGCATAAGCATCCAAATTAATTTACAAATTCACCGAAGTAAAAATTCTGTCACAGAAGCGCTGACAGGCTTCTGATTTTCAGAGCTAGTATCAAAGAGTAATTCTGAACAGAACACCTCTGCTTAGGTTATATTCACGAGTACACAATCCAAATGTTAACAGCATCCACAAGTAAAAACAGAAGTTCTGAAGTTTGGGCTCATGTCTGTGCATACAGTACTACCTGATTACAAAAATTAAGAAGTCCCTCAGGGTCTGGAAGTGCAGAGTAGCAGGTGCCTCCAAAACACAGATCTCAGTTTCAATAAAGGAAGAACAAATGAGGGGAAGCATATTGACTTTGAAGCACAGTCAGTTTTACCTTAAGCAATGAATTCTGTTATAGTACTGCAGTATCAATATTTATGTCAAATTTAAAATAAACATTTCAGAGAACAAGGTTTTTGGATTACAAATATTTCGGATGGCTGAAGGTGCAGCTCTGCCTCCAGCTAACTTCCAATGATTTTTGGTTGCAACGCAGCTTTTATTAATATTTAACCAAGAGTGATTTTTTCAAATACTCTATGCAAGAGGATGCTTCCTCTCACACAGGAGCAACTAGATGAAAAACCAAAAAAAAAAACAAAAAAAAAAAACAACACAAAAAAACACATTCTGAACATCCAGAATTGGTTGTCATATAGTGGATGATATTAAACTCATCATTCAACCTCAAGGAGAGAAGGTTTAGATTGGATGTCAGGGGAAGTTCTTCACAGGGAGACTGTGAGGGGCTGGAACAGACTGCCCAGAGGGTGTGGATGCTCCATCTGCAGTGGTGCTCAAGACCAGGATGGATGGGGCCCTGGGCAACCTGGTCTAGTATTAAATATGGAGGGCGGTGGCCCTACCTGTGGAAGGGAGTTGGAACTCAATGATCCCTGCAGTCTCTTCCAACCCAAGCCATTCTGTGATTCTGTGACTGCTCAACTGCACGATGAGTTAAGCTGAATTAAAAACACATTCAAGCATTTCACATACCTCTACATAACAGAAGCTCTTTCTACAACCTTTTTCCTCTTGGGCTCAAAAGACTGACTACAAATGCACACTTGATGGCACTCATGGGCAGCAGTGTCTTCATTCCTGTTCATGCTACCAAGAAAATAAAAAGGTCAGCAGTTCAACTGCAAATGTTGATTTTACAAACGTCACTGTGTGACGTTGCTTGTGCCACTTGGCCACTGCACCCCTCACAGACAACAACCTGTGGATAATGCCCACAGCACGTTAATAACTGCATTACAAACCCAAAGAGAAGTTCTCTCCTACAACAAAGTAAGTCAAAAAATCCGATTTTAACCAGCATGTAATAAGAATTTTATTGAGAAAAAAAGAAAACGAAGACATGAGATTAATTTCTGCATGAGTTTTATGAATGTGCAGAATCAAATAACCATGCAAAAGGACGTTTTCCACCCTCCCCCAACCGTAATTCAAGACTCTTATTTATAATGACAAAATTATCATTTCAAACAGTGTTCCAGACACGTAACTCATTACTTTAAATATGATCTCTCTCTTTCCTGAACAGAGACAAAAACAAACAAAAAAAAACCAGAAGCAACTGGAGAACACCATTGATTAACGGGTAGAGTACTTAACCAATAATCATGCCAGTTTTAAAGAATGCAAGCAAAAAAATGCATTGTTACATAGAATAAGTAGCTGTTTCTTTTCAAGGCAAAATCCTATTCAAAATAGAACTAGTCCCTAAATTATTGAAATGGTGACTTGATAGTGCAAGTGCTCCAGAAGATCATCAGATGGAAGGATTTTTGTAAAGTTACATCAGTGCCATGTAAAATGTCAGAGCAGCTGAACAGCCCAGTGCTTAACAGTTCTAGCATTAAAACTAAACTACATCCAAGGAATGTTCTGTTCTAGATACACAGTGTAACAGTAAATAGGAAAATGGGCCTAAACATGAAGGAAAAGATTAGAATTTGTGACAAATTGGTACATACACATACTGCTTTTCTTATTAAAAACACATTATGAAGAAAAATGCTTGACATGCACCTGGACAGGTCTATCTGAGACATGTAACACTGAGTTACATAAGGTACACTGTGCTATGGTATGGGTTTGAAGTCTTACAAATTATAAAATTATAGCTAAACCATTAACCAACTTGTTAAATACAGCACAACGTCCAAGAACATGGAAAAGAGGGTAAATTAAACTGCAAATAACCCAGTATGTATTTGTTTGTACTACTGAATTTCACCATTATTAAACAAAAAATGCTTAGCTTTGAAATCTTGCTTTGGAGAGGTATTATGATTCGTTTGGTATACCACACTTTTTTTCCCCCCTCATTTACTAATAAAAGTCACAGTCAAACCCACATACCATTGAAGTGTCAGCTCTCAGTAGCCATGTAAAGATGTCAGACATCAGTGTGCTAAATACTGTGCTGTGTACCACTCAAAGCACTCAGATTCAGCAAATACATTCAGCAAGTTTTTGTATCTTGATGATGGTTAAATGAATTTAAAAAGCTGAAAAGAATGCAGTTAAACAAGAAACTTAGCACAGTCCATACTGTCCTTCCATTTTGAATGCCATCAGCCATGGAGGACTGGGCTGTTATTTGTAAAACCTAGACCTTCTCACCTCATCTTAAGCTGGGATTTTTTTGTTTGCTTGCTTTTTTAAACAGGTGCTATTTAAAAGCCTTTACATCATCACTGATGTGAAAAAAAATCATTATGCAACTCCTGAAGCATTTGCAGAGCTCCCTGATGAGTACGAACAACAGGGAAAGAGTGGAAGGAATCAGTGAAAATACTAAAGCACAACTGAAGACCATGTCTGTAGGCTGTAGAACCTTTCATCCCTTCACTACCAAGCTGATCCAGGTCCCAGCAGAATCTAGTTCTAAAGAGGCAAATAGTTACAGGGTCTCAAAGCTGCAGCATTAACAGCAGAAATTCCACTCACTCAGATTTTCATGAATTGAAGGTCAAATGCATTCAGGCCATTTATTAAGTTAATTGCTTAAAAAGATATTTTTTTCCTGATGAAATTCAGTTTCCCCTGTAGTGCTTTAAAAAGGATTCTTACAATGTAACTCACAGCATATGATGCTGCAATTATATTGAAAATCTGTAAAAATGCAAAAAGGATACATTTACATTATTTATATACCCACATGCATTTTAACCTGCTTACTAAATTAGAATTTTATCCTGCATTTAAACATTGCCCAGACTTCTGCATGCAAGAACATAGATGGCATGCTGATAGCTACAGCTGTTTAGAATTCTTCATCCACTTAAAACAATTTTTCTTAGCACTGGACTAATAAGAGCTCCAGCTGTTGGCTCAGAACACATTGGGGAACGTTGGAACAATTTTTAGAGGACCACTTGCAGGCCTATGCTTCCATAAGCTTGTACCCTACCACTTCACAGCATCTGACCCTTAAACAAAAACAGTTTTGAAAAGGGCATTAGAATTCGGTTGAATCTGTCATGTAAAATTTTGAGCTGCAACTTTTAATTATGGCCTAGCAGCCACAGTTCCTCCAAGTTGATGAGGAAATGGATGAAGAAGCACCAAAACACACCATTGGTGTGAGGGGCAGTTTATTTGGTGAAGTGTTTGCTACTTCATCAGGGATAAATACTGCTAGAGGCAGAACTCCGGACTCAAATTATACCTGCTGGAAAACAGTAGGAGTCTTAGAAATCCCTGCTTCATTTCAGAATGAAAGTTCCCCATTTCTCTTGGATATCAGGTCAAGCAAAGGCAGGTAGGTAGATGAGCATCAGCACATTTTGTGGTCAACAGAGCTGCTTAAGTTTTAGCACAATTTTATATACTTTGCTTAACTTATATATGTAAAAATGTGTTTTCTTCCCCTCACCCCCCTTTCAGCTGCAACCCCAGATTGCTTTTGCAAGCAGAAAGAGAAAGCAACATTAGTGCATAAGTTTTGCTTAGGTAAAAGCCTCATCTGTAAAACTATCGTGCTTTCAGACACAAATCCTAAATGCTGCAGAACTGGAAACAAACGTAAGGTCTAGATTTCTAATTATAGTTCTGCTTATGCTTCTTCAAAAGAAAAGGTACTTTTAAAATATTTTATTTCAATGGTACACTTATGATTTGAGACAGACATTTTAACACTTGTTGTTTGCTTCTCCTAAGACTTGCTCTGTAAATTTAATTCTCAGATCACTCAGGAACAAGAGAAGGCATATCTGTAACAAAATAATTTTCCTGAGACAACTACATTGTGTACTGCCCTCTCCTACTATAGACATCCACACTGAAAATATTTAAGATGTTGAACCTTGTGGGATAGAACAGAGCATACATTCTGAAGATGCTGTGAAATACATACAGTACTTTGGCAGTTTTACAAATTTGAGGTACTCTTACTCATTTTACTACCCCTTGCCTTTTGCATTTAACAAACCAAACAGCAAAGGTACAAGAACAAGAAATATCCTCTCTTGTCACCTCTGTTTTTATTTTAATTTGATCTCCTGCATTTATGCTTGAAAGACAGCAAGAGTCAGGAAGTACTGAAGCTCTTATCAAAATACCTTTTATTCCATCCCTTTACAGCCAACAGGTATTGAAACAAACATTAGTTCCAGCAGACAAGAATAGAAGTCTACAAGTGCTTTTTAACATTTACTTTCATGGGTATTTTTAATTTAGATGTGGAATTGCATGTTCACCACTTGAAAAAGTCAGGCTTTTTTTCCCTTTAAAATTGTGTGCTTCACAATGAAGAGCTCTGATTCTAACACGTACTACCGAAGAGTCCCAGTTTAAACACAGCACTTGGAAAATTAACACACACCGCAGACTGACAGCACATCTGCTTTCATGGTCAGTGCATAGTAGGTAAGGTTGTAAGCAGAAAGCAATAGCTCTTTCATTTTAAATCCTCATGGAGACACTCCAACCAGAATAAATATTCTCATGGGAGCAAGAGCAGAAGAAATAGCTATTACTCTTGAAGTTGATACTTTCATTCGCTGCGCATTAGAACTTTGTTGTAGAATGGAACAAGATCAAATATTAAAAAAACTATATAAAAATTAAATACTTGATTACAGTAGCAAGTCACCACTTCACAATAGGAAATCTCATCTCTTGGAATTATTATTGATCTGAATTCTCACTTGTTTGTTGAGTGTTGGATACTGGTAATTCAAGACTTGCCCATAATAGAGGCTCTGCTTTTCGCATAGTAACCTCAATCTTTGTAGCTGTCATGTTCACATAACTCCTCTTTACATCAATTACCTGAAACAGAAAACATATTTCACACTTCACCTCAAGAAATAAACATTCAGAGGTTTGGAATCAAGTTAGAGAGAGTATCTTATCATGAGACATCAGCAAATATTTAGGCAGGTGAAATTCCCTCTTATCTGGACAAAAACAGCTATCTCCCATTCTCAAGTTATAAATGTGTGTCACAAAACATGTGACTAATGCACACAGTATGCATACAACAGATCAAGTCAAGAGTTTTCTGTAACACAACTATCATATCCAGGATAAGATCTTAGGATAAATTGGCTTAGAAGGGGTTTCAAGAAGTCACCTCATCTAACCTGCTGATCTAAGAAGAGTCAAATAGTCACTCAGGGCATTAGGTTTAGATTTGAATTTAACTACTGAATGATATGCAATTGAATTTCTTTCAATAAGCAAAGAAAGCAGGAAAAATAAACAGCTTTTAAAGAGAAGCAGCTGAAGGTTTGTGTGTTTTGTTGTGCTTGTTGTTTTTTTTTTTAGAACAGAAAAATGGCTCTTATACTTACTCCCCATAATTTCACATTGCGATGAAATTCCTTTTCTCCTTCAAACACAATATGGATATTTAACTGAAGAGGAAAAACAGCAGAAAATTTAGTCAGACTAAGAATATGAAGCACCTCAACTATGTTTAAGTATGCTTAAGTAAAATGCATTACATCAGGACTCAGATCCTACATGAAAAGTGATCAAACGGTCACTCACACACAGAAGTGGAAATACATTCTACGAGACTGTGACACAGTACCACAGTGTGCATATAGTGGAAATCCTTGCATTTTGTTCAAAAGAGGAAGAAATCACAGAAACATCATTTTTAGCACTCCCTAAATATTACCGCCTGTGAAACCGCCATCAAGAACAACGTTCAGTTAATTCAAGTCAAACACAATGGAATTAATAACCTGTAATTATTTACATATATGCCAATGGAAGTCACTGCACTCAGGATTTAATTGCAGAAGTCTAATTAACGATTTTTTGCAGCCTTATCAAAGTACAGATGTCTCAACAGGAAGGAAAAAAACCCAAACTGCATATAATTAAACACAAGGGTCAAGAATGGCATCTTAAGGCAGACACTCACCACTGTGCTATTTGCTTCTACATAGCTCAGATCAGGGACAGAGTTCTTAGCATATATAGAAACAGTCACTTCTCCTCCAGTCTGATGCCAATCATGCCTGCATGGAACTACTTTCTTCCCCTATATAAAGAAAAGGTCATGGAAAAAGAAGAATTCAGAAGTATTTTTTACAATATTAGGATAAAATTCTGGGGCTATTCCAACAGCCAGTAAACACAGCTATGATATGTTCAGAAGTGAGAGCAAAACACTTTTTTATATACACTATACACACGTGTATAAAACTATAATAAATATATGTTTCATGATAGAAAATATGGGAATAAAAGAGGGGCACTGAAATGCAATAGAAATATTTTCTGTTGGATCAACCTCCTTTTCAAGACTGGAGTTTTCCAGCATGTAGCAGTATGGAACATAAAGAAAAAAGAAGTCAGAACTCCAAGAAATTTTTGTATCGCTGCAAAAAATTAAGTATTCCTCCCTGTTCCCAAATGCATGAAAAAATGAAATAGTAAAAAAACAAAAACAAAAAAAACCCACAAGATCCAAACGAGTAAAAAAATCTGTAGTCAAACAACAGTCAACTAGAAATTCATTATCTGAATAGAAAAACATTTAATGAATTTCTTAACATTTGAGTAACTACTCTACAAGGCTACTTTCTTGCTTCAGGTTTATCACTTCAAATTTTCTGTTGGTTATTTACGTATCTGAAACTACTGCTTAGATACAAGCAAATCTTAAAAGCAAGCAGCAATCTTCTGAGTAAGGAAGTAAAGCACTTGGAAAGCAGTCATAAAATGGGGTAACAGAATCACAGCTTCTGTAGTAAATCTTTGATTTTCTTTTGTTAAGTGACACGTTTGCTGCATCAAACTGAATTTACCTCAGCAATTAAGAATATTAATAAGAAATGTTTGTTAAGCTGCATCCAACAGTAAGCCTCTTTATTAAAGCTGAATTTGCCAAGAACACTTTTACATTTAAACACGCATTAAGGCAAAGAAAGGCAGAAGCACACTTGTGATAGAGTACTACCACAGATCACTTCAAACTCCTTTTCTGTCCTGCCATGCTGTGCACAGTATCCTACACATTATTTCATAGGTAGTGATACAAAGCAGCTCAACAATAGTAAAACCTCAAACAGCCTATGAACTACGTTTCAGTACTGAAAGTTTAAAATAACCAGCTGCATAAGGCCATGCTAATGGTACTCACTGCATCCTTTTTAGTCCATACGTGTGTTCCTGTTGCGCAGCCCTCTTGGGCTAAAAACGTATTGAAGTCAGATGTTTTCCTTTTACAGCAGCTCCAGTATTTCATCCTTTAAAGTTTGCAAAGAAAGTAATGAAAAAGCAATCTTCAGGACATTGTTGTGGATACTATCATTCCTTTAAGTAGAATTATTATTAATTTAGTAGATGTTTTTCAGTCATTACTATTTTTGATTGCAAGAAATACAGAATGAGTACAAGACAACATCTATGACAAGAGCAGTAGCAGATTAAAGACTAATTAAAAAATTAAACTGAGTACCAACCCTTCGTGAAATATAGGCACGCCAGAATGGTACTGACACACTTCTTCAGTGCTGTGTGGTCCTTGGTACGTCTAGTGAAACAAAGCATTTTACCATTACAGCAAGTTGGACCAAAGTTGAATAAAAACAAAAAAGAAAACAAAACACAACAAACAAAATGAACACTGAACAAAACACGATAAAGCTTTCCAGCAGTTAATCCAAGTCCAATCAGAATTATTATTTTGAAAAGATATCTCCATTCACAAAAGCTTCCTTGGCACACCATGCTTACAAGCTACGCTTTGTATTGCTTCAGTTGATACAGCATTGGTGTCACCATTTATGTTCACAGAGGTCACTTGAAAAACACTCTGAAAATTCAGAGGGAGTACTTAAAATAAAGTTGCCATTCATAAAAAACATGGATTCTCAAAAGAAAATAAATGATATATCTCTGATACTGAACACTACATCAGCTCCTCCTAATACAAACAAGTGAATTACATGAATTCCTCCCCCACCACAGTTTCAGCCAAGAGCCCGCATCTGTCAGATGTACAGTGAATTACCAACTTAAAATTTATATATTATAAATTTTCTGTATATAACAATGGTGGCAGCAAAAAAACTTAACTGTCTGTTTCAGTGAGAATGTAATAAAAAGTCTAATTTCAGTGTTAGATGTTAAAATATTTTCTTTGGGGATTCTTTGGGCAGGATGCACTAAGTGGTAACCTCTGAAAATGCTTCTGAGGAATATACTGGTATGTAGGTACATAAAAACAATTCAAGTGTTAACAGTAAGTCACCTCTTACCAATATTTTGTTTAGCATTTTAAGTTAATGTTTCAGTATTGTATGTTTGGTAAGCTTACTAATTAGAAGTTCAGGATGGATAACGAAAGAAATCTTAGACCTACTGCATGCACAATACAAAATAGCCCACGTGTGTCAATACTAATGTATGTTAACAACTGTATATTTGTTAAGCCCAGTGGAATTTATCTTATTTCCAGTCAATTTGTAGCAGAAAGAAAACAAAAAAAAGAAACAAAAAACAGAACCCCGCATGTAATGGTTTAGGAAGAAGGCATAAAGGTGGAACTGAATGACTTACTTTTGAACAGCCTGCATTTTTACATGGTGTCCCTATCTTGATTTCATCACTGTCCTCCTCTGTAAACACAATGATATTGTAGAAAAAAACAGCTTACAATAAAGAAGTTTACAATGTATAAAAAACATTTTGCTGCTATTGAGAATTTAAAGGAATTAAAGAGTAGATTACAAAAAAAAAAAAAAAAAAAAAAAAAGAAAAAGAAACAAGCAACTTCTGCATGTTATTGAAGTCTTCCAGAAGGGTACAAAGAAACAGAAATTATGCTAATATTCCAATAACTTCATTATTTCTGCCTCAGATTTTAGCTTCTATACATTTACACTGTTTTAAGTGAAAGAAAAAAAAGGGCTAAAAAGGATTGCTACAATCATACACAAAGAGAAACTATCAGAAGACGCCAATCACTCATTATGTTTGGTTTATAAAGACTATCAAAGGATCCAACTGCTGCCTATAAATAGACACAAGCAAAGAATCTGAATACCAAGTACAAAAAAAAGCTAAATGACATTTTTTGCTAAAACATAAAAGGGTATAAAATTGCCATAAATGCACACAGATTGAATTCAGCAACTCTAGTGTCTCTAAAGGAATTAAATTTGAAGTGATCAGTGAGATAAAAAGAGGAAAAGCAGACAAGGGAGAACCAACCAGTTTTCCGGGGAATGTCACTGGTTACAAATAAGCAGCTCCAATAATTGCAGTGGGAATGTATTCCACCTACTACCCAAATTCCTACACTGTTCACATTTAACTTGGATTATAACTCTACAGAAGGAAAGTTATCTCCCAGATTACTGAGAACATGAATAATCTTGTCAAATAATTGCCTTAGAAAGAAACAACAACAAAAAAAGTAATTTGTCTGACAGTAAGTATCACATATCTACTTAACTTCCTTATATCCTTACCTTTTTTCTCTTCGTTTTCTGATGAGAGTTTCAGTTTATCTAGAGCTTGCTTCAAGGAAGCTGAAACTTTCAGCTGCAAATTTGTCATTGGCTCATCTGGGCTAAAAAAAAATAAAAATAATCCATGCATTCATATCAACTTCATGGAAAATAACTTATAAAAGATGACAGTAGTAACTTTTAATCTTTTGATAAGGCCCTTCTTTTCTAATGCCCCTTGAAGTAACAAACCAGATTCCTTGGTGTCCATTCTTACAGATTAGAAATTTCAAATGCCTTTCAACAAAGGTTGAAAGCAACTAAGTGCTGTACAACAAAAACAAATCAGAGAGATTAGGGAATCTACATACAAACTCCTTAATGTTTACTGTTAAGAATATATGAAACCATAGACATTACTACAAAACACTTCATAAGCTACAGAGCTTTACACTGCAATTTTGGTTTGCCATGCAGCTAAATGCTCAGCAATCCAGTGCTACCTTGTCTTAAACAGAATTCTTTTAGCTCACTTCAGAGACAACATAGTAGAGACATCACTGCAAGCAAAACCAAACTCTTTGGGAATTTTTACACTGTATGAAATGAGTAACACTTAATAATCAAACAAGCTTTAATTTGGCAAATCAACCACCAAACCAAATTTGGGAAAGAAAAGGGGTTTTGTATACAATACCTTGGTCTTTTAATTGTTTCCAGTGGTTTTGGTGCTTGAATGATGTGTTCCTGAAATTTGGGTTTCAGTTCAGCTAGCTCTTTTCGCTCAGTGGTACTTTTGACATCTGGTTTAACAGGCTCAGGAGGTTTCTCACTGTTATGGAGACCCTTTGTACAGCCCTATCAGGGAAAGCATATGTTTTTATGCTTATACTTAAATGATGCAGTTGCTGCAGTTTTCGATAAATGTGCACTTATAAATAAGCTTATTTTTTGTGCACACTTACCAAAAACTGCAGCAAGTTCTTTTATATCTTCAGATCATCTTCCACTTTAGCCCACATATCACATTGGCCATGAAGGTAATCTTACAACTATGACAGAAAATACCTTCATCTGGATACACTTTAAAGAACAATGCATATTTTTTACAGTTGAGGGAAAAAAAATTGTCCTTCATTCCTACCAAGTGTAAATAAGTTTTGACAAAACAAAGCATGTCTATTAAAGCTTGAAACATAAGATGCAGCTACAGCTTTAGAGCAAGAAAATCAGCGTATCCAAGATTTAAGACAGCTGTAAAACAAGTAAGCAAACTTTAAACATGTAAGCAGATGTACCACTTGATATTTATCACTGTGATTTCACAAGCGTAATAACTGCAAATAGACATGAATACATACCACAATGCTTAAGAAGTCAGAGAAGTCTGTTGTTCTTCTCTTACAGCACGACCAACCCTATAAACAGTTTGGAACAAAAACAGAACAAGTGTGACTACTCTACTTAGCTGCAGCTTCTGAAAGACCAGTTCTATTCTTTTACAAGATGGGACAATATTTTCAATCCCCTGCATTTTTAGAAGCCAAGTACAGCTGTTCCTTCTGCCATTTCTACTTCACTCATGTTGCCTTAATCAGAGAATTCACTGAACATTTTCATGACAAGTTAGGTGCCAACTCCATATGAGAGAAAGCAGAAATGTTACTTCAACCCTTAAGTTAGCATTTGAGAAGAATAAACAAATTTTATACCTGAGACTACATTCACCTGTGGCAAAAGATAAAATGAAGAGACTTTCTTTCTAGTCAGATCTCTCAAGTACTCATTTCCCCCCACAGTTCTGGAGATCTGCACTGCAGATACACTTTCCCACCACATTGAGAGCTGAAGCAGTGAGGCACTGGCTTGCTGTTCAAGTAGATGGTTTGAAAATATACTTAAAATATTCACTTTTTACACAGTCCAAGAGGTAAAAGGTTAACCTCTGCTCACTTGGATTACCTACAATCCACATTAGGAAGAAAACCTAGAAAACTATGATAAATTTAATTAGGCCTAGAGTTAGAAAAGCAGGGGTGAGAGGGAAGAAACTGAAGCATGCTCATTTAAGAGAAAGCAAACACAGCCTTTTGAGGTATCTTTGTAATTTCTGTCCTTGTAATTACGTAGAAGTCTTAAGCACTGTACTATGAGTACAGTTACAACCTTATTTAGACTATGGCAATTTATTTTCTTTAACTGAATTGTACTGCACAGCAAAATCACAATCAGCTCACAGAAAATGTGACACCCAGCACACAAGTACCTCCATGTACTCCAAACCACCACATGGCTGGACATGGATGAGACATACTGTCAGCAGAAGCAGTTTCTAAATACCATGGAAAACTGCTTGCTCCACAGTTAAATAACAGCTCCAAATCCTATGAAAGGCCACTTACGCTTCAACTGTATTAGTATTTTGAACAGTGCTGGGTCCTGGACACCAGATTCCTGACCTGCTGAATGGTTAAAAAGTATTTTCAGTACTGTTTTGGCCTACCTATGCAGTTCTCTGTCAAATAATTCCCAACAGGCATTGTGTATATATCGAGCAGATCCTGAAGCAGGAAAACAGTTCAGTAGAATGAATGTGGGCTATGGAGTTGGCCAAAGCACACACAGCCATCACAGATATATTTAATTCATTACTGAAGATTTATCCTGAGAACACTGGACAGTTACACCAGAGGCAACGGGTGAGCAGTCCCAACTTAACCAAGGTATCAGGTTATCAGGTTAACATAATGCAATTATTTTCTGCAGCAGACAAATGTCACACTCACGTTAGTGCTCTAGTTGTATAAGAGTGCATGCATCTGGTCAACATTCCAAGCAGATTAATTAACAGAGAGTAAGATAAGTCTCAATACCTCCAGAGATCTATTCACAGGACCTAATTAAACTGTTGAGAGTCAAATGATAGAAACAAGACACGTGAACTTGTATGACTTAAACCATATGGATACAGTAAGCTATGCTAAGCTTCTTCTGCAGCTTTGTGGAATTTCATGGGGTTGCTCAAAAATGACAGACCGGACAGACAGACTGACAAAGAGAAAGAGGAAAAGAAGTGCATTGTTTTACATATATGGAAAAAAGGTGAGACTTAAAAAGGCATTTGCATACTCACTTTGAGAGCATCATGAAAGACTGGCACACCTGGATGATATGTGCATGAATCTAGAAAGAAATGGTTATTATTAATATTCAGGTGTACCAAGAATTCTTATCTGTTTGATCACAAACATACAAGCACTATGAGTTCACTGAAATCAATAATTATCTTGTTCTTACACCACTGCTTGTGATCTACTAGGTTGTTCAAGGTCATGAAGACAGAGGCCAATCTTCAACATGCACAATTTAGTTCTGTCAATACTATCAATTGCTACTAGGTTCTGTACAAATGATGCTAAAACACTTCTTTCATTAATTGAACCGTGGATATTCATAGATGTTTATCAACATTACAGTTTTCTACGTAGCAACTGTTCCTTTTTACTTAATATATGTACACTTTCCAAGTGTAATATAACTGCCTTCACTATGTAACACTTCTGACATATACCGTATGCATAATTTAATGATATGAATCAAAACCAAGATGGGAAATACCAGCTGCATTCCAGCCTTTAAAGCAATTTGGTTTTTTATTTCTATTTTTTTGTAGAAACAGCTAAAATTTAAAATGACACAAACAGTAACATTTTTTTATAAGCCTCCATAAAACACAAGTGTGCATAATGCCACATTTCAAATAATAAGATGAGCAACACACAACTTTACTAATATGCTGCCTACAGATTTTAAGTGGACTATCGACAAATCAGTATGTTTTATATGTGTGTGTATATGTATATAAAAGTATGTAGAATTTGAAGGACTTTTTTCTCTTGCTTAGTATCTTCTTTCATCATATACTCAGTGCTTAAGTCTCAAGCACTAATGTGTTCAGACAGACACACTGCCTTACGATGACGTTTCTTATCTCAGTCAAAAGGAACACATTTTAGGACATTAGTCCTTCAGCAAAACTTACATATCCTCATACTACCACCAATACTTTCAGCTTCAGGATGAAAAGCTAATGCTAATAAAGCTTCTAAGAATAAAAGAAAATACATTTCTTTTGTACAAAGAGCACAGGGCTTCACTGTCTTTTTTTTTTTTTTTTTTTTAACTTAAAAACAAAGGGTGCTCTTTTCCAAATTTATGAAAGCATGCCATCACAAGCATCATCATGGTAGCAGAACTAAGCTATCTGCACCTCAGATTATTTTTGAATGAGAAGACCTAAATTACTACTTAGTACGTGAGTTGAAAAGAGGGAGGTGCTATTAATTAGAGCTATGTTTCTCAAAACTTAGAAACAATCTTAGAAACAATTCAGGGTAGCTATCCCTCACATATCAGATGCAGACAAGCACCTGTTTAGCCTGTTTGTCCATCTGGCCAAGCCCAGTCCTTTCTCCTTGTTTCCTTAAGCCCCCTTGGCAGGCAGTATATTATGAAGAAACAACAACCCACTCTCTGCTGCTATCTCATGAGAGCCACGTGCACACAACAACAGAAGCTGCAGAGGCAAGCAGCTCTACAGTGCTTCAAGAAGAGGCAGTGGCAGTTTATCTCTAAGCAGTCTGACCATCCTGTGCATCAGAGAACAGAAGAACATCCCTTGTTACCATTTGTACTAAGACCAGCAACACTTGTCTAAGTGAAGTTTACATTCATAAAAAATATTCTATATCTGATTAGCAGGGAGTAGAAAGGATCAGGACACACATCAGCAGTATGCAGAAGTATGATCTATTTCTGATTTGTTTGAGTTCAGCTTCCAGCCTTTGGGTGCTATTCAACATTTTTTCAACTCACTTCTCCACTGCTGTTAATTCCTCTCCTTAAAAACAAAACAAAACGCTTTTCAAAGCAATCAATATTTCTCTCTTCACTTCTCAATGAAGAGAGAAATCATTTCAAATCATTCCTGTAGATGCAAGTACCACACTGTCATGTTTCTTTAAATGAAAATCTGATACTCAAATCAATTCCAGTCTACCAGTGCACACGCTGTTGCCTGCTATTAGTTTACTACTACATCCCTGCTTACCCATTCTCATACTTCTTGTTACAAGGCAAAGTAGAAAACAGTAAAGGTTTTCCAAACTTAAAGGTATTTACGACGGAATCCTGCTGAATTCTTGATAACAAAGTGAGGTATGTCTACATAAAACTTATAAATGATTTGCTGCCCTCTGGAAGCACTCCAATACTTCACAAGCTATGCTTTGCAGCTCAGAAGCAACGGAAGTTCATTTAACTCAATGAACTTTATCCAGCTCCTTGGGAATGTGAATGTGATCGAGAGGGTGCTGATTCCACTTAATTTCTCAGTGTTGGAATAAAATGTAGATAACATGAAAAATATTGTATGTGAAGAGCTTATAAACAGTTCACGAAGAAAGATTCAGGCTGAGAAACAGAATGGATCAGAGGATGCACTTTAAAGTAACAGAGTTTGAATAATGGAGACCAAAGTTAAACAAAGTTGAAAGGTCAGATAAAAATCTAGGCTATCACTGCTTTCGACTCCAGCTCACCCCACCTCAGAAATATGTAAAATAAGTTTTCATCAGCTCTATGATCACGTTGATCCTGCAGGTGCAATACCAATACCCTTGACAAATGAGCTAAGCCCTTCAGTTCTGGAAACAAACCAAATAAAACTGCATTAACAAAGATTCTAATTGCAGCCTAAAACAAAGCATTGCAGTAAAGTGAGGAAGCTGAGACAAACATGTGTACACCTTCAACCTCTTTGTGAGCAACACCTTTTTAAAATCTATACAGAAGTATTACATTACACCACTGTATTAGTGGCAAAATTGAACGTGGTATTGAAATGGATTAGAAATGTCCACACAGTCATTAATTCCCAGAGAAATAAACTAAAACTTTACTGCCCCTTTTGGAAGCTAAGTTCTACATCCAACACTGCACAGCTCTCTAACTGTATGGATGTAGCTAGTTGTTACTGTATCTGAAATGCATGTTAAATTTGTACCTTGCTAGGCATGCCACAAATGATTTCATAACTGTGTTCAGTCATACCTGTGTAGTCATACCTTTAATGCTTTCCCTCAGGCTGTTTTTTCTGCCTCTCTTTAAAGAGGCACTGTGTCCTTTGTGTCAGCCAGTTGCCACCTGATCATTTTTTTGAAACAATGACAGCTTCTACAGAAAATACATGCACGTTACACCAGCCCTCTGATTCTAAAGAGAACATTAAAGGCCTCTTACATCAATCATTGCTATGGGATACCTATTCTGTAGGCTGAAATTGTGATACATCCACAACATCTTTGAGGCCTGTGGGCCTCATCTTCTACTTTTCTTGGGGAAAAAAAAGATATAAAAACCTCCTCATAACTATTGATCCTAAGCTTAAGTGATAGATTATATCAATATAAAGCTTATCAAAGATTACCGGAATACATATTTTGGTGTCTAATGTGCATTTCACTTAATCCTCAAGACTTAAATATTCTCCCCAGCTCTAAAACACTTAAAGCTGACAGCTAAATGCAGCTAGATAGGGTCTTAGGTGCCCAAGTAGCCATCGCCTTATTGATCTTAGTGAAGTTTAGTGGTGGTGAAAGCTTAAATTACTCTCTTTCAGCTAAAGATGTTAGACCTGGTCTTCTAGAGCACTCTTGAAAAACCGCATTAGAACTGCTTAGGCCAGGACATAGGAACTCCAAGACCCAGTCACTTACTGAATAAACTTCATTGTAGGAAGCTGCCTGTCACAATCACACAGTATAGGGCCATGCATAGGGCCATGTCCATCAGGTCTGGTCCACTCCAACTTATATCACGTACATCAGAAAACACAGTGAAAAACTGTTATTACAACAATGAGAGCAGGTCATAAAGACCTAATGAAAGTTTCTGATATAGGAAAACCTATCTAAAGTCTATCTACTTTGCCTTTTGAGCCGAGCTGGAGTGGGATAGAATTTCTGAATGGCAGCATTCCAAAACCGTGTGCCCACTTTTGCTGTTCCTAACGTTAGCAAGCCTTACACAAAGCGCTGCCCCTCTCTTTGGAGATATTTATCTCAGAACAATAACACTTTACGCAGTGATTTCTTAGTCGCACATGCCAGATCGCATCAGCCGACTTCTAAACTCGTGCACTGTGCTAGAAATTACGCTACCACAGAAGGCCCATCCCCTAGAAATTAATCTTCGCAAATCAGACGAGTTGCAAAGCTTGTTGAGAACTGCAGCCGGTCGGACGGGGGGCAGCCCGATCTACTGGGGGGCAGCCAGCCCACAACAGGGCACTGGAACAGATGGGCTTTAAGGTCCCTTCCCACCCAAGCCGGAAGGACAGGCACTCGCTGGCAGCTCCCAGGCGGGCAGCCGGGCTGCGGGCTCAGCCCTGCAGGCTCACCCGTCCTTCGCTATCCAGTCAACCTGCGGCCGGGCCCCGTCACCGCCCGGCATCCCGGCTCCCTCAGGTCCCCGCGCCATGACGGACCCCCCGCCCCGTCCTCACCCTCCGCGTTGGTCTCGGGGTCGAAGCGCTGGCCGCAGCCCCGGTTGTAGCACAGCAAGGACATGGCGGCGTTCCGCGGAGCAGAGGAGAGCAGCGGCAGCGCGGCGAAACGGGATGCGGCAACCGGAAGCCGGGTGGTGATGGGGGGGCGGCGCGGCGGAAGCAGCCGGCCGCAGCCTTCCGGAAGCTTCACGAAGCTTCGGGGGAAGGGGAGAAAGACCAGCGGTCACTGCGCATGTGCTGCCGCGCGGCGCGGGAGCCGTGAGTGCTGAAGGGAAACCAAAGAGCCCGGAGTGCCGTGGCGGGGCGCATGCGCACGGCGGGGCGCGCGGTGGGCGGGGCGCATGCGCGTGGTTTGGCGGGAAGGTTGTGTGGAAAGGTTGTGTGGGGTGGCGGCTGCGTTTTGTCCGCAGCGACGTGGACTGGAGATAATGAGTGTAGGGATGCTATCAAATGGCTGCACTGCTCTGTGGTCAGGAGACACCGAGGAACTGGTCTGAGGCTGATTCCATCACGGCATTCGGCTTCTGGTGGTTTAATTATGTTTGAGGGTTGCATAGTCACCTCAGAAATATATATGAAGACGTGGCAATTAGAGCTTTGGTTGCTAGGTGTCTGGTATGTGGGCACTTAGTTTAAAAAATGTGTAGTAGGGATCATCTGCTTTGTGCTGAAATGAGGGCAATTGCATCCGGAATTTAGAATTTGTATTGCTGATAGGATTTGTTCTGCTGAGTGCTGCCGTCACCCAATGGCCCTATGGCTTCTTTAACGTGTTACAGCAGTGATAACTACCTACATTTATATGGGCAAAACCAAATAGGCTTCTTCTAACTCAATGTCTGCTACAGTTTTTAACTATGGAAATGCTGAGTTTATAATGCCAGTTTATAAGGCACGTGGTATCCTAAAGCAGACGTGCTTTTTGCTAAAAACATTTCCTTAAAGGATGTGAAAAAAGACCATGAGGAGATTTCTTCCAATGTATCTACCAACTGGAAGTTAATATCATTCACAGAATCACAGAATGGCCAAGGTTGGAAGGGACCTCAAGGATCATGAATCTCCAACCCCCTGTCACATGCAGGGCCACCAACCTCCCCGTTTAATACTAGACCAGGCTGCCCAGGGCCCTATCCAACCTGGCCTTGAACACCTCCAGGGATGGACAGGGCATCCACAACCTCTCTGGGCAGCCTGTTCCAGCACCTCGCCACTCTCTCTGTAAAGAACTTCCCCCTGACATCCAACCTAAATTTTGTCTCCCTCAACTTAAAACATTCACTTCATTATATGTCATACCTGATGCAGATATTTGGTAGAGCTATCAAGACCAAGAGGTTGCTTCAGCTCTTAGTCAAAATAAAGCTCCCATGGAGGCTTCTCGTAGGATAAATGTAGGATAAACCGCTTTGAACCCAGCAGAAAAAGAAAGAAAAAAAAAAAAAAGCCCTCTTGCTATTTAGCAAGAACATTTTAATGTAGGGTGTGGTAATAACAATTTACAAAGGAATGAGTAAGAATATAATTAAGTCTTAAGTTTTCTTATTCATATTGAAAACATTTCAATTGTTTCTGTTTGTTGGATAGCCTCGTTTGTAAGGAGAAGATTGATGGGAACAGACAGAATCACAGAATGGCTGGGGTTGGAAGGGACCTCAAGGATCATGAATCTCCAACCCCCCTGCCACATGCAGGGCCACCAACCTCCACATTTAATACTAGACCAGGCTGCCCAGGGCCCCATCCAGTCTGGCCTTGAACATCTCATACAGGAGAATGTAATTAAGGGCATTTGTTGTCTTAGGGCCAAGAATTGTTCTTAAAACTTGAAATTCACTTTACACAGTGTCAACAAAAGTAACACATGAGAATAAAAATCTAATTTACATCTGTAAAGTAAACATTGTGCTCTTCCTGTGTCTGTGGTTGTATTTTAACCATTGTGTGCATCATGCTTCTGTTTGAGAAAACCAATTTCTTTCATTCTTGTCCTGAGAATATTTGGGGAACAATTCAAAATCATTATTATTATGACATTATGTTTGCTGGATTAAGCAATAGCATTCTTATTGACTTGGTAATGGATTTTGTTATAAACATTAACAAACAAAAGATGGAGAAAAATGAAGTAGAAAATCCACAGTTCCCCAGAAGTATCATGTGGTGCTACTCCACTCTTAGTTGCTACTTCAGTGGCATAGAAATCTACTCATGGATTTTCCAGAAGGAAATCCATTGAAAATATGTTTGTTTCACAGTTCAGAATTTTGTGGTATATCACATTAAAAAATATATTTTTTGCTACTAACTTTCATATACACTTACTGTGAAGGTTACCAAGCTTTATTGGTCTTCTCTGCACGTAGTGTTAAAGAGACTCAGTTTTTCTGTTTCCCAGCATACAAGTGAATACCGTTTTGCAATTAAGTGGGTCTTTTGAAGTTGCCTATCACTGCCTACATGAAGCACTGCAGTTTGCAGCACACAGTGATGATCTCACAGAACAGGGTAGAACTTCAAATGGCAGTTTCAATGCTTAGAGGAAGGCATAAGAGATTTTCAATCCACTTTTGAAGATTCGGAGAGTAAACTGTTCACATACGATTTAGACTGTCATTATGTGTGTATGACAGTACATTTTAAAAGCTTTGTTTATGATTGTAGAATATTTATTGCGTAGAAACCCCTGTTTTCAGCAGATTTGAAATGATACTCAGTGTCTTTTCAATGTTTTCAGATCCCTGGCATTTAAAACATTCAAATTCTATATATAACTTTTGATGAGTTTTATCCTTTGATTTATAAAGTCTTCCAAACTGTTACAATGTGTTTAATGACTGACTCTTTTATTTGTTTTTCTGAGAAGCTTTACTAGAGAAGCAGTAAATGATGGGTGAGAAATAATCTGTTAGTCCCAGTCTGACAGTAAGAACACAACTTCTTCTGCTGATTGGAGTTGGTGACAAAATAGGAGAATTTTCTGATAACAGGGATTTCTGAAGTAACTATAGAGATAGGTCAGACTTCATCATTGTATAATTCCATGGAAAACTGCTCTTCTAGATACAGTCACTGAAATTAATGAAAAGGAGTATGAAAAATCAATGGTGGAGGAAATAAATCTCTTTTTCCCAGAGAAAACCCTTTTAATTTGGGAAAGACTGAAGTGTCAGCAACACATTCATTATGATGGTATTTTTTTCTCTTTCTCAGTCCTTTCTGCTTTCGCCGAAGTGGAAGTTAGAGTGAGCTAGTGCCACAAGAAATGCGTGTTCATTCCTTGTTTGCAGAGCTACTGCCCATCCTGTGATGCTGAGAAGCCATGAAATATGTTTTCTTACTAGCTCCTGGAGATGACCACTGTCATACGAAGCATTCTCATCTTTTCCATCCAACTACTGTGGGGTATGCTGTATTGTTCTTAACATTTATATTCCTAAAACCTATGCTTCAATATTTTATGACTCAGTAGCTAAGTTTTCATTTCAAGACACTCTGTACCAAGTAGGAAGCCTCTACCAAGTTTGTATTTGCTGCTTCAGAACAAGCAGGTGGGTGAAAGGAACAGAACACGTGAGCAGAATCATAGAATCACCAAGATTGGAAAAGACCTAAAAGATCACCCAGTCCAACCGTTCACCTATTACCAATACCTCCCACTAAACCATGTCTTTCAACACAACATCCAGTCTTTTTCCTTGAGCACCCCCGAGGTCAGTGACTCCACCACCTCCCTTGGCAGTCCATTCCAGCGCCAGCTTGAATCTCCCCTGCCATAGCTTGAAACCATTCCCTCTGGTCCTAAGAGGCTGTTGAATTGTCAAAGGACAGATTGCAGAGCGATTCTTTCTCAAAGACTGCCTTAGGTAGAAAGAAATGCCTATTTATTGTGCTTGGTGCTTGAAAATGCATCATTAGGTCTATCATGTTTTAGTAAAGTTATTCTCTGTCAGCTCCACTGCAAGGTAGCATGTCAGTATTTCCCACATCGATCCCTTGGATGCTGAATGCTTTCCATGTAGCCTGACATGCTGTATGTGTTTTCTGGCTATTAGCAGAAGCATTTGTGTCTCTTTGAGCTAGATTTTGTGCAGAGATTCCCTCTGCCAAAAAGTCACTCTGGATATCTAACAGTCAAAAGTTGTCCCATCACACACATACGTTATGGAACTGATACAAGAATTGTGTTTGAAGCAATAGCATTTCACTGCAAACATGAATCTTTAAAGAAAAGGAGTATTTCATTTAACTTCTCGAAATGCAGAAGCTGCTGCAGTATTTTACTATTTTTTTTTTCTGAAAGATCATTGAGTCTTGCTATCTGCAAGCCAGGACACTTTTCACACAGACTTGCTAATCCCAGGATTTCCCCAAACCCCAGACTACACCAGTTCTGAATAAAACTGACAGAGGCAGGGGAGTGATTGTCAAGGCTCTACATCCAGATAGTGACAGAACAAGGGAAAATGGCTTTAAACTAGAAGAGGGTAGATTTAGACTAGATATTAGAAATAAATCCTTTACTGTGAGGGTGGTGAGACACTGGAACAGGTTGCCCAGTGAGGCTGTGGATGTCCCCTCCCCGGAAGCATTCAAGGCCAGGCTGGATGGGGCTGTGAGCAACCTGGTCTAGAGGGAGGCCTATAGCAGGGGGTTGGAACTGAATGATCTTAAAGTTCCCTTCCAACCCAAACCAATCTGTGCTTCTATGATAGAGCTGCTGCTATGGGTAATAAACTGCTGCCTGAATGTTCTAGCTTCTTGTTAGTGGCAGTGGGCAATTTGGCCTCCCTCAGCTTCCTTGGAACAGTCAAGGAACTCTGGAAATTTAAAGGGAATCTAAGGAGTCCATGACAGTCAGGGCAGGGAGCTTTGTTTCAGATCTGGAAATATAAGAATTAAAAACAATTCCTTTCTTCAGGTAACTTAGGGGAGGTTTAAAATAAGATGTAAATCCCTGAAAAACTAACAGAGTCACAAGCCTGCAGAGCTTGCAATACACTGTCCAGTTCAACTGAACATAGTCAGATATGATGGGCAGAGAATTTGAAAATGTCACATCTCACAGAGAAACAGAACAACTGGCTTTTCAGGCTTTTTTCATCCCTTCTGTGATTGCTGTTCCTAACATTTTTTAAATGCCA